TTAGGGACCGTAATGGACATCTACAAAAGAATATAAAAATCTGTGGGAACCCGTGGTGAGATTACTTAGTTCGTATGTATCTTTCAGGGGCCGTTTGCTTATGACCCTGCTAAATGCAACTGATGCGTGAAATGGGCCTTGTGATTAAATGCTTCATATAGATTTTGGCAGAGCAGTCTCCTTGGCATGACTAAGAAAGACTTGAAATTGCTCTCGGAATTGGGTATGAAAGCGCTCTGATGTTCCACTGAATTTGTTTGCAGGACAAGGCATTACGATGTTGTATTTTCAGACCCATGTTTGCCAGCAGGGAGGTGTGAGTTGTCCCCTTTAAGCAGCCTCATAAAATAGCCATTGTTTTGACTGAAAAGCATAAATGCTCGGAAATAGCTCACAAACCAGAAGTCGCTTTATCTCCAGCATTAGGTCCAGATCATCCATGCGCTCCATAATAGCTACCAAAACCCCAGATTGTCAAACCCACTCGGGCTTAGACAATTACGGTTTTAGCTTTCTGTAAGAAAAGTACAGGTGTTGTGTCACACTTAGAAAAGCAAACACCATCCTGGTTCAAAGCCCTAATCCCAGAGATCAACTAGACCACGCTGCGGTACAAAATGTCACTAAATTCTGAACTGGAAAGGGTTTGGTGACAACGGCAGCGATTCAAGCTGCACTTCTGAAAGAAAGGAATGCAAGTCAGAAGCGTCATTCGTAATGGATCACCACAACCAAACTGTACTGTGGTAAGATGGCAGATGACTGATGCAGTGACGAGTAAGTGGGGAAAGTTCCGTATTTAACGGCTGCGCTTCCTTGCAATAGGCAGGATACGAGCTCTGGTTGCTTACCCTGCTTCAGGTATCACAACACTTCACAGTTTTCCTATTACAACTGAGGCACGTTTACTATTTCATACACTTAAGAAAAATGTATTTGGCAGTGTATTTTCTCCCCTGTCGTATTCTGAAATATAGCTAACACTACAATAATACTGCACCAGTTCCTTGATCTGAAATTAAGTTTTGATGTGTGTGAAATACTGGTATTCGCACGCAGTATTAATGAAAACCGTTTGAAGATCTTGCTCTTTTCTTGAGCTGGAAAAACAAGTTCCCGTTCCCTTTGTCAGTCTGGCAGTTGCACTGGCAGAAGACTGACGTTACTGATGTTTTCTTTTCCAGACATACCTCTTCCATGACTTTCATTATACAGTTCTTACTGACTACCCCGTTTATAAACACTCTCACCATCCGCAGTCAATTCAGTACGCGAGGCTGTTAGTGCTCGGCTGTATTTTCTGTATGTACGCCTTAAAAAAGCTTTGTTGGATAGCAAAGCTCTCTTTCCAGTGCTTCCAGAATCAGCTCTTTAATGCCTTCAAGTCATTACACATCTCCGTATGAAAAGGTCACCTCAAATTGTACTTTTGGTAAGCAAATACCCTTCTTTTTAGAAAGAAAGCACAGCAATATCTCAGTGTAGGGTAGTACCAACTCCTCTAGTTTTTGCTCATACTTTAATGGGAGTTTTGTTCAAGTAATTTTGATCCTCCCAGGTTTCTGATTAGTATC